CACTTTTTCACGAAAATCGGCCCAATTATGATCGGTGACCGATCGATCGGCACACCTCTACTTGAAAGGCTAATGAAGTTTCCCAGAAAACCTTGAAGTTATTGCTGCTAAAAACTTTGCCATGAATGTGTGAAAAACCAGTGAGAATTAAGAGGTGCAACATTGTATCTTCCTCCAGCAAAGCTCTAATTAAGATAAACAGCAGTTTTCTTCCTGTGTTTGAGCCTGTGCAGCTTCATCACAAAGGCTTAAAGGGAAGCAGATAGGAAACAGCAGCCACATTAAGTCTATTCGGATGTGATGTTTAAGTTGTTTATACACTATTGTATACAACCTGTCTTTATGTTAAATTACTGCAGTTATATTGGTGTTTAATGTTTGCATCTTTTGAAACAGAGTAAATGCAGTGTTTTCCCATGAGAAGTCTGCACCAACAGAAAGATGTTCAGTGTATAGACTGATCCCATTCCACGATTTTAGAGCTGCAGAGTGCAAACATATCACTGCAGACAGAGGTGAAAATCTGAAGCTGTCTGCAGACGGACAGTCAGGGACGGGGGGGGATGGGATGTTTATAGCTGTGACTTAGTTCCCAATATAACTCTGTGTGGACCTGCAGCTGCTGTGGGACCAGAAACAGGTGGGATGTTTGACATGTCCGACTCTCAGAGGAGCTCTGGACTTCTTCCTTGCTGCAGCAGCAGAGAGATGAGACAGAAGACAGAGCTGGCTGGAGATTCACACTTCTTCTCTTCGTTTTACAACACCACACACAACCATTACACAATCTTTAAAGGGGATCTATTATACACAAGTCACATTTCCTAATTTTTGTACTTGGTTTCTACTGCTTCTACAAACAGCTTAAGCACAATGAAACCCACAGGAAGCATGAATAAAGCTGGTTTGAATCAAAGCCAAAATGATCATCTAAAGTGCATCAAATTGCAATATATGTGTTACATTGCCAAGTGCACAGAACTATGAAAATGGATTTTTCTCCAAGCTGTGTATTTTTATAAGGCAAAAAGAGGAGGAAATCCATTTTGGACCTCTTTCTAAGTTTTTACAAACGTGCTTCAATCTGTTAAAGTGACGAGGGATAAAGGTTAGGCAGTTATTGGTATTTGTATAAAGACATCTTTATGTCTATGAAAATAAGTTGCAACCTGCATGTTAAGATGATGCTCTTCATGATTCATTTATTCACGGTGAAACATATTCATGTTCAATCAGATATTAAACATCTTAGACCAGATTTCAGCCTACATGAACCAAAGAGCTGCTCTCCATTTTCCTTTTTTTTACTTTCATTTATGTTTCGCCTCACATACTTTGTTTCCCTTCATTCTTTTAATCCGTTTTAATCTCCTCTTTGTTGGTGCTTTCCCTCTTTTTCACATTACTCTTTCCTTCCTTATTTCCTTATAAAAGTTTACATTTCCATCCATCCACGTTTCCTTCCATTTAAATGTTCACTCTTCCTTACTTATGTAAGTATGTATTATCTATTCATTTCATTCCATCCTTCCTTCCTTTCTTATAAATGTTCTTCTTCCTCCCTTCTTTGCTTCCTTCTTTTGCTACTGCATTATTTCCTTATACACATTTACATTTCCTTCCTTACCTTCTGTCTTTTTTCATAGATTTGTATTTATTTCTTGCTTCCTCTCCATGTTTCTTCCACTCTCTTATTTCTTAACTCATTTATTTGTCAAGAGTTTGCAGTGTTACTTCATTATAAATTCAGTCTTTGTGATATTAATCACCAACTTTAACTTCTCTTTTGATGTTGGGGGTCAAAGGTTATGTAAGCTCAGGACCAGAGTTCATTTCTGCATGCATCTTTTTAAGTAAAAATACAGTTTCTTTAAGCTTAAGTGCAGAACTCTATTCTCTAGGAGATTCAACGACAAAAACTAATTTAGAGACATTTAAAACTTAGTCCCTGTCCTGCACTGCTGATGTAAAGAATGAAAGGTACCTAAAATATTAAAGACCTTGCTTGACCCAGAAAAAAAGTTATGCATAGACAGAGCAGGAGCGGCTGTCTCATTTAGAGTTTGTGATTTGCATATTCATGTATAAAACTGTCCTCAATGAAGAGCATGAACTCTCTGTATTCCAATAAGTGTAATGAAGCGTGGCCAGACGATGGTTTCGTCACGCTTGCAAAGTCTGCAGAAAAACTCAGACAAAAAAAGGAGGGATAATGAGATCTTCTGAAATCTCTCTGTGGTATGTCTGGTTCTGAAAGTTTTCCAAGTGGAGATAAACAAATTCCCAAGGGTGTAATTTTAGGAGTACAGGTCATATTTTTTAAATAGTAGGTGGGTACTCCAAGGAAAAAACAGATCAAATCTTTCAGAAACACACCTTTAATGACGGCCTGGAGGTTGTTTGGAATGACAAGGTATGCAAAGAAAAAGTTACGTTGAATTCACCCATGAGTAATTGGGAAAAAATAGATTTAAACTGATTAAAAGTTCTCCCTTAACCAAAATTCAGACAAATTTATGTTAACAGTCTTAGCACTATCACAGCAACTAATGTCCACAGTCTTCCCTATCTACTCTTGAAGGTACAGTCAAATAGTGGCAAGGAAAATAATTGAATGGTCCTCCTGCACTGGCTGCTTTGCAAACACCAGCCAGTAATGTTTCAGGTAGCATGTAGCTTCCCAAGGTGGAAATAGGCAAATTTCCCCTGAATATTTTGGACTTATGGTCCTGAACCAACAGTCATATCGCCCAACTCAAAAATCCAATCAGACACTTCCGGTTTTTTCCATCAACATATCCTGGTTTTACTTGAGGGAATTCCATCTTAGCATCATTAGCTGTATATATATATATATATATATATATATATAGTAATGGCGAACCAACCGGACATTGTGGTGGTGGATAAACAACAGAGGAAAGCCGTTATGGTGGATGTAGCAATGCCAAGTGACCACAACATCAGGAAAAAGGAGCACGAGAAACGAGAAATACCAGGGCCTCAGAGAGGAACTGGAGAAGGCCTGAAAAGTGAAGACCACAGTGGTGCCTGTGGTCATCGGGGCCCTCGGGGCAGTCACCCCCAAACTGGTGCAGTGGCTAAAACAGATCCCAGGAACATCAGACATCTCAGTCCAGAAATGTGCAGTTCTAGGCACAGCCAAGATACTGGAGGAACCCTCAAGCTCCCAGGCCTCTGGTAGAGGACCCGAGCTCAGAGGATGAAAGAGACCACCCGCGGAGGGTGAGATATATATATATATATATATATATATATATATATCCTTTGAATGAGGTGTTTTTTTTTTTTTTGGCTGTATCAAAACGAAAAAACTTTTTCACATCACAACATTAGTTCACTCTGCCTTCAACTATAACTGGTAGATGAAAACAATCTGTTCAGCAATTTAGCATTGATTATCAATGGTCTGTCTTGGACATTTATTGGCAGAGAAATTAAGATGTTGACATTACAATTGGCATTGATAATCAATTGTCTATACTGTGAACAATGATTGGCAAGACATTAAAGATTTGGACTAGTTTTGGGATTTTGGTGACGAATGTTCCTGTTTTAGACTATGATTAGGGAACAACTGAAGGTGTCAAGGAGGTTTTTTGCACTTAGTGAATAGTGATACAATATTAAACTAACTGGAGGAGACATAAAGGTGTTGGGTTATAATTTGGTTTGGATGATCAATGGTATAGTCAAAGACATACAAAGACATACCACTGGGCTGTTGATTTTGGTGACCAGTTTTCCAATTTAGATTGTCACTCTGTAAGAATAGAAGGTGTTGGGCAGGTTGACTGGCTTTTGTGACTAAAGTTTCAGCATTATGCACTAGCTATGTCTCCATTGACCACATAAGTACGCAAACTGAATATAAAAATACTGAATTTGCTCAATGGAAATACGCAAATTTCAAAAATATATTTTTCCATGCAAGATTTATGCACTAAATTGAGGTGGCTTTTCAGCTGTAGCAAAATATTGCATCTTTTGCAAAACTGCAATGGAAACACTTTTTTGACATCATGAGTCATGTGATCGACAACCGGATGTTACAACTTGCAGAAAAGATGACAAAGACCACAGGAAGTGGTAGGAGGGTCATGCGCGGCATGTTTTTTAATGATTTGTCGCATGGAAAAACTTATTCAAGTGTGATTTTAACTGAATTTCTTATTTAATGGAAACATGGCAACTGGGAATTTGTGTTTGTTCGACATTGGTGGAGTATAAAAGTTTTACACACATTTGTAATGGAAATGCAGATAGGATCTTCTCAGATTCAGCAACATGTACACTTCAACAGCCAGAAAAAGTCCAACCCTGATAGGTACCACCCTCAGCTGGCGTTGGGTCGTGTGTCTGTCCCTCCAGAGTAAATCCAGACAGTAGGCTACAGTCTGTCCACACTCTGCTTCTTGTTGTTTATTTATAGCAGCCTGTTCCCCAAGGGGACAGAGTAACTTAAACCAAATGTGGGAAATGTGGCAAGCAGCCCACCCACTCTTGGGTGAAAAAAGGTTGGATTTGGAGCCAAACGTCTTGGGTATCACTCCTCATGCCGATTCATCTATGAATGGGAGAGTGTAACTCTGCTGCGCTCAGGGACTCTTTGTTTGTAAAGTGGTGATTAGATTTCAGGAGAAGAGTAAAACAGAAGCAGAGCAAAGTGAAGGAGGAACTCTGCCGTAAGCTGGAGTCCCACCTCCCCGCCTACCAGCAATCACATGGAATGAGCATTCACAACAAGGCAGTGAAACAAACTTACCATGTTTCCTTTCCTTTGCGTCCCCCCCCTCCTGTGATGTACTCCTTTATTTCCCTTCCCTCTGGGCTCCTGGTGAGCTCTCCTCAAAGCCGACAAGCGTCAGGCGGATAAAAATGGAATGGAGTCACTGCTGAGAAGCTGCATGAGGCCTTCACTGACCAACTCAAAGTCAAGGCAGCCACCTCTCTCCTTTATTTCCCCTCCCCTCTGACTTGTTCGCCTGTCAGCTTTTCCAGCAACAAACCACTCCCCGCCTCCTCCAAACCGAGCCCCTGAGTTTGGGAGCCGTTTCCTGGACGCTCAGTGACCCTCCTCTCTGACGCTTTCCTTTTTTCTCCTCTTATTGCTCCAGTCTTGTGTCTCCGAGCTGCAGCTCTGCCTTCCTGCCAGATTTAGAACACATGTGGGTTTCGGGTCTCAAGTTTAAAGAGGCGGGACTCACCCTAGAGTGTTATTATGTCAAGACAACCTCCTTTATTTTCTTTGCCTGCTACCACCATGCTTTGTGGGCAAATCCATCAGGCGCAGGGTCCGGCCAGACGGCAGAAAAGTGCCTAACTGAGTGAAATGACCTGGAAGTTTCTCAGTAACTGCAGTTCAAGTACTCTAAAGTGTTGCAGCAATGAGCTGCAATGCTTCCTAAACAGGTTAGGATAGACGTATGGAAAAAAAAAAAAAAACAACAACAAAAACAAACATGCTCATTACATTGTTCCTCAAAATCATTCTTAGATGATGAGGTTATAGTTGCTCCGTTCTGCCTGTTTTGAGCTCCTTTCATAATGAGCTGAGCTTTTAGGGCGTATGGTCACGTCAAATCCAAATAGGCTGCTGCTGGCCACGCCCCCTGACTCAGCATTTAAACTCACTTATGAAAATGGTTGCAAACAAATGCAAAGTTGTACAATCATATATCTTTGAAAAGCATTAGCAAAGCCTCCCGCACAACCAACATGAATGGGGCAGGTGGTTTCTGGATGGCAAGTCAACAACAAAACACTTGTCTTTTCCAGCAGCCAACTGTTTCTATGTAACGGCGCAGTGACCAATTGTCACTCAACAATCGGGAGGCTTTTGTTTTCCAGGCACCAAAAAATACATTTACTTGGTGCCAAAAAAGTCATCTAGACTGGAAAAAAAGTGCCCAGGAACTTTTTTGGGCACTTGACTGGATCAAAGTTAGCATCGCTGCTAATAACAGCAGATAAACAGTTTTTCTGTTGTGTTAACCTTTTTTGTCCACCATTAGCACATTACAAAAGGGTGATTAACAGCATTTAACATACCTCAAGTATGGTGGAGGATCTGTGATGCTGTGGATCCATTTCCTTTCCAATATTTTTTTTATGTTTTCAGCAATAAAAACAAGATGTTCAGTCTTCATTAGAAAACACTTACTTAGTGTCAACTGCTTTCAAATTTGCCTGTACTTAGTCAAGTTTTATAACAGCAATTAAAAGCAGATTTGGGTGTAATTCAGAGTATAAGTGATGGTCCTAGTTACCAAAGACCTTGGAAACATTGAGCACTTTGTTTTCCATCTAACATCTTTGTCAGATTAAAAGTTGTAGGTTTTTCTTAATTTATTTAATTTATTCTTGAATTGTTGCCAGGGGGAGGCCAAATGGCCCCTCAGCCACATTTTAAACACCTTTAATTTAGAGGGATTATGCAAAGAGAGATTGTGAGAGAACCACCAATCTTGTGAAATATTAGAAGAAAAAACTGAGTGGTAGAAGTGGGTTGTTGCTGAAACATAAGTTTAATTTAAGATTTTTCAGACTGTATGGGAGTTGCCAATAAATCCCAGTAGGCAGGCCTTAAATCTGCAAACGAAATGGCCAATATCTGCTTTAATTCTTTTTTCTTTCCCTTTTTATTGGCATCAAACCAGTGTGGTTTTGGTTGTTCTTCTGGCAAGTAAAGATTTCTTTCCTCCCAATGGCTAAGCAGACTGCATGTGCAAGTTTACTGCCAGATCGTCAGCATGTGAGTTATGGAGGAGAAGAAAGAACGATTTAAAGAATGCAAATTCCTCTCCCCCACTTTAATGTTCTGTGGCCTGACAGCGAGGGAGGAAAAAGCTTCAGAAAGCTTCTACAAAGCTCCACTTTCTTTTCTCCCCGTTCTTCCTGCCTCCTCTCTTCACAGCCACACTGATCCCATTCTCTCTGCCGGCTTGTTTGTGGCGAAACCGATTCTGGTAGGTTAGGGGAAATACTTTGTCCTTTGATGTTACATCAAGTAGTTTCACAGCAGAGAGCCTTTCATGGCAAAAAACCCCCAACAAGGTGCTGTGTCATTTAAAAGAAGTTAAATCACTTTAAATACCTCTGCCCCCTCCCAAAAAAAGAAAAAAAAATAATTCAGATGTTTTGTTTTTTTTTTCTTTTCCTTTAACCCCAACATAAAGCAGAGGCAAAATGTAACCAGTGTCTCTTAGCTTGGCAGCCTGAAAAAAATTAAAAGAACAATAGGAGTGATTGTCCAGCAGAAGAGACAAGTCCTGCATCTTAAGCGGGCAGCTGGGACGAAGGCCACAGAGAGGAGGGGAGGCACTCCGCGTCCCTGAGCTACTGCAGCTCCACTTGATGATGCATTAATCAATAAATAAAAGGGAAGCCCCCCTAATAAGGCTTCTGTAAAGAGAGGAGAAAAACCACAAAGCTGTAAAATAATGAACATGTAAGCAGATCTACTTGAAGATAGAGAGATTGTTGAACAATAAAAGTCATGCTCTGCCACCATTTTAGTTTTGTTGATGGTTTAGGCTAAAGGCTGTAAGAAAAATAGAGTTGGAGTCAGTTTGTACCAATTATAAAAGAGAAAAGAAAACACACACAATACTGTGGACAACCAAAGAACCAGGACATAATTATTGTACGCTCATCAATTCATAGCTCTGTTTCCATTACAAATGTGCGGCAAACTTTGTCAACATTCTGCTAATGTTTAAAAAAAAAACATAATTTCACAACTGCGTTGCTTCCATTAAATAAGAAACACAATTAAAATCACACATGAAGTTTGTTCATACGGTAAGTCCCTAAACATGCTGCACCATTATCATCCAACTACTTCCTGTCTCCTTCGTCATGGTTTGCGCCAGAAGCAACGTCCAGCTGTTGATGACTTGACTTGTGTGATGCAAATAAAGTCTTTCCATTGGAGTTTTAAGAGATAAGCCAGTTTTGATACTGCCAAGAAAACCACCTCCTCCCAGCGACAAACCTTTTTAATGAAAAACTATAAAATAATATAAAAGAAGAATAAAATAATCATATTTTCCATGTTATAAGTGAAAAAATCTGTCAGAGAAATCAATATTAATCAATATTAAGGAATTAATGGCTTAAAACGAGCTGAATATCTTGAATATGTTGCTGAAAAGTTACTTGTGAAAAGTTTTGACTTATTTCAAGATTAAAGAAATATTTTCACGACAAACTAGTTCAAAAACACTTGGTTAGTTTATGTTGTTGCAGTGCCTGATTAGTTTCACTTTTTCATGTTTAATTTATCTTAGTTTATTATCCTGACCTTTGAGATATAACAAATAAATCCATGTCTGTGTAAGGATGAGAGTATATCCCTTTTAGTTGCAGTTTAGTCTATTATGCTGCATTCTGGACACTTTTTACTGCCATCCTACAGCTTTAGCAGATATCTTTGTCCCTCCTGTTACTCAAGGTGTGTCTCACAGTATTATACATGAAAGTTGTTGCTTTTATTATTTTGTTGTGGAAATCATACCTAAGGTAGGTAAATCCCCCATCGAGTGTCTTTGAACGAGAGCCTCCGGATCTTTCCAAGCCCGGTTCTTTGCGTGTGTGAAAACAGCCAATTACAGAGTGAGACCAGACCGGCGACGGGGCTTAAGAGTTGCTCCAAACGCCGGCGACCTTCTGTCTCAGATGCCGTCATAAATAAATATGACTATTTATTTCCATCTCCGAGTGGAATCAAATTACCTTCTGCCATGTTTGCTTTGTTTTGCACCTCAAGCTGTGAGCTGCATGCCGCTCTCTGAAATAAACCAGGCTGAAGATGCTCAAACACTGCAGTGAAACGTCATGTTTACCAGAAGGTCTCTGAATGCCTCACTCATATCTAAACTGTGGGATGTTATGACTGCTGTAAGGATGCTGTTCATCTCAGTTAAGTTCTTACTTTCATTTGAGTTAAAACAAAAATCATTCCCTTATATTTCTCCATCAATACGCTTCATTTTCCAAAGCAAATTACAGCAAAGAACCAACTCACAGAGGAAATATTAGTAAATTCATGGCTGAGTAGAGGAATCTATGTTCTACCACAGCAGTGCTTGGAGTTCAAAGTTCAACAGAAAGAGCTCCTTTCCTCCAGAGACCACATTAAGCTAATGGTTAGCTTAGCTGTAATGTAGCAAGGAGATGCAGTTAACTTTAGATAAACTATGCTATTATTTTTCACATTAACTTTCTTTCTGCAGGCAGAGAAACTGTTTTCAAGCTGCCTTCAGTCACTGCTTTGATAACAATCTAAAACACAATGCTCTGCAGACTCAGCCTCCTCTACAGGGTGAAAGGTTCTTTCTGCCAGTGTCTGTTGGATATTCATAAACTCCCCCAGAGACGTTATCATGTTGATTCAATATGGTTTAGAGAGCTGAATGGAGAGACAGAAATCAATAGATGGACTATCAGAGAGGCTTGCTTACCGACTGATGGACAAATAACCAATAAATGGATGGACAGACGGTCAGATGAGCAGTCTGAATATGGATAATGAATGGATTAATGGACAAACTGACAGTGGTTGGATGGATAAACTGATGACGGATGGAGAGGTTCTTCATTCTGAAATCTGAATGTTAGTGAGTAAAATCAGTTTGCGTGGCTCCACAGCACACACTTTATGATTTTTTTGTTTTGAAAATCATCTAACAATTGTAAAATCTTGCCGTGTGGACAAGGCATACACAAGCAGTTCAGGTACAACTTTCTACAGGACATCTAGTGGTAGACATGCTTTGTAAGTGTGAGGACAATTTGACATTGAGGACTCAGGTGTTTGGTTAGCTTCAAAAAGAAGAGGTTGAAAGGGACATCATATGATTAGTTTGAAGTGGGAGAGGATGTGAGATCAGGGTGTGAGGGACAGACCATCATTTGCCTCTGGATAATTATAATATGGAGTACAGGTGACAGTGACCGTAACGAGGCTGGTGTTCTCTCTGTCTCTTAGTTAACGCGGCCGTACACCATGACGGACAGCAACTCCTGACAAGGCGACCTTACGGGATGATGAGACTCAAAGTGTGAAGAAATTAC